ATATATATTGGGGTACCATGTTCCGGAGGCATTTCAACGAACTGTGAATCATCGAGCAATTCATGCAACACAAATATGTGTGTGCAAACGCGTGTATTATAGTGAGAATTTTAGTATAAGGGATCATCGTACGGCAGACAATGACATAAATGAAGATATCTTATTTTAATAATTTAGAGGGTTTTATTTTATTTTTTTTTTGCAATTTTACGTGGGCGCATGAATATTCCATATAAATTAAATTAGTTAACATTTTCAATTTTATTTATTTTTAAACGAATTTTTACTTAACGGATTTTTTAGGTATACGAAATTTTTATTGAATTTACTATGATCATCTGCTACATTACCAAGTTCTGTCATTCTATTTTTATGTTGAGTATTTATTATAATTTTCGCAAAATAAAACTCTCGATAGCCATTATAGATTGGACAGTCAAATAAAAAATGTTCTAAAGACTCTCTTTCACACGGATTACATTTTAAACAATTGTTGTCTCTTCCAAAATGCACATTTAACGTGTGGCGTTGCGACTTGAGTTGGATCTCGTTAGTATGAAATTAAAAATTTTGCATATCTCTACGTAATTAAAATATTAAAAATGGACTAATTTCGGTTATCAAGAATCTACCTTATGAGACAAATCGAATTAATGAAATGCTCTGATCCTGCTCCCGAGTATAACTGAGTTGTTCAATTAAATGTACTTCTTCACAAAATAAATATGTCAGACTTATGGACAGCCCTCTCGCCTCAAGTATGGTCGGAATGTTTGGTTATAGCATTAGAGAAATACGAATGATACTTAAAATTTACTGATGTACTTAGATATGAAAAATCTGAATCAAAAATACACCGGATACTCAGAACATTAGAAGATAAACCCTCTTTATACTTTTTTTTAGATAACGTAAGTTTTTCTAAACAAAGATTTTCGCACAGCTGAGACTATAACAACAAAACATCTTGTTAGATTTACATATAAGGGTAACATCTATAGTTGGGATCCGAATTTAAAGTGATTCGAATTTGGAATTCCAAAATTTCTGCAATTCACTGAATCTTCATTTGTTCGAATTTTTATTTATACACGAATTGTTATTTGATAGAATTCTAAGAACGTCGAAATTGCAAATGACCAACAAACGCAATAGGCATAATTTTTAAAATTGACCAATCAAAAATATTCTATGAAATAACAATTTGTGAAAATAAAAATTCGGTGAATTGGAAATTCTGCGGCATTTAAAAATTCGAAACACTTCAAATTCTGTTGAATGAAAATTCATCTGCAAAAAAAATTGTAGTCTCATCGTCAGTAATTTGTATTCACGTAAATAGTTTCCTCCCCATGAATGCATTTCATTTATACAATGAAACGAAAAGTTGATCGTTTTCTCGAAGCAAAAAAAAAAAAAAATAATATATAGGTACTATAAAGATAATCTTGTTGAATTAATGCATTCTTAAAATTTCGTAGAATTCGAAAGAACCATTTTAAGTTGTAATTATTCCGCGTAAGGAATGCTGTGGTGAACTTTGTTCAAAGTTGTCGTTAGTATATATATATATATTTCGTTTCAGACGAGTTTCTTGTGACGGCCTTGGCAATGGAGTACAGGGAAATATTTGTTCTAAAGGTATATACCCTTCGTATATTAGCATCTTTGTTCCATGACTATACTCTCAATATATATATATATATATATATATATATGGTTATATTGCATTTACAGAAGAGAGGGCTTGTGATTCTTTTTTTTTTATTAAATTTTAAACATTTCAAATATTTATTTTCACCCCGACAACCGCGACCACTATCACATAAGCAACCGGTTGGACGACCGACATGACCTTCGAGGTCTAGACTCATATGAAAATTCACTCATACGTACTGTCAAAATTAATGTTAGACTATATTTTGTTTTATATATGCCGGAAATTAGATTATCTAAATACTGACTTAATTCTTTTTTCTATTTCTGTAATTACTTATACCCTAGTAGAAATTTGTCATGGAAGCACTAGAAATACTCTAGTAACTGGCCAGTTTTTCTCGTGGACGCTGATTCTAGACAAACTAGACAATTACTGTAAAGTTACTTGACCAACAGTCTTAGAAAACATTCAAGTTGAACTTGAAATTGGCTAGATTCAACTTTTGTCCAGTTGCTTGAATGGCACTGTCTATAGTGTCTCTAGAAATTATACTTTCGTCTTCTTTCGGGGCAGCAGCGCTGCAGTACATGTCTAATAAGTAGACAAAAAAGTGCTAGAAATCTGTGTTCATGTAACTATTATATTATTTCACTATTTTCTTAAATAATAAAATTGTAATTAATTCAGGTAAATATAAATTAACATAATTTATTATTTTAATATAATAAATAAATAAAATCTATATTCACATGTTTTCTGAATATATATATTTTTCTTGCACTTTTTTGAATACTTCAGCCACTATTTTACACATTTCAGTAACAAAATGTATTTAAAATGTATTTTAGAATATCTATTACAATATAACTACATTAAAAAAGTGTTTTTTATAAATAAAATAAATGTTATAAACAAATTAAGTTTAGAAATAGCGTTTTTTTACAATAAATGTAATTGTGACTAAACAACAATAGGAAATAACCTAACAATAATGTCTATAAAGTTTTCGGGTTCGCTGATTACGAATCTGGCATCAGATTTTCAAAATTCAAAATGGCGGATCCAATATGTCGGATGAGAAAATGAAAAATTGATCGGATTTCCTTGAAACTTGTAACTCGTGGGTTTTTGGGGGCGCTGATTACGAATATGACGTTAGATTTTCAAAATTCAAAATGGCAAATCCAATATGGCGGATGAGAAAATGAAAAATTTATGGGATTAACTAGACGAAAAAAGCGTGATATTCCATTCGAGTAATTAGTCAGTTGCAGTGTTAAGTTACTAGACAGCTTCTAGCGCAACTGTCCAGTGCCACGATAATTACTGGGACAAATTTCTACTAGGGAATTAGGATGGTTCCTTAGTGGTTTTTCGACGCTAAACACGAATCCGTAAACAGAATTGCTCCATTAGAATTTCGACCTTGAAAATTAAAAAATGCTTTTTTTGGATACTTTTAGGTTTTTTATTTCGGAACAAAAATTTTTTTTTCTAGTTACTGAAAACATGAAGACGCATAAATATGCACTAAAGTTAATTTTTTAGAATTATGTTTTAATCGAAATTAATTCTGTAGAAAATTATTTTTGCAGAATAGTAATTAAAAAGAACCTTTTAATTTTGCAGAAAATACAGATTTCTGCATAATTAAAAATTTTTGAATTACTATTTTGCAAAATGAATATTTAATAAAACAACGTTTCGCACAAATTGAGATTCGATCAAATTGAATTTCTGTCTAAATAAAAATTCGGCAACATTGATAATCAGTTAATAATTTATTCTGTAAAATGAAAATTCGAACAAATGAATAATGTAAAACAAAGCAAATAAGCAGAAATATTGCACTTTGCTTGTAATGCGGAATATGGTGCTATCTCATCTTTTTCATCATTTATCTCAAAAACTTTTGATTTTTACGCATTTTTGTATTTACATTTTTTATTCAGAAGCTTTTAAATTGAAACATACTTCAGTTACAAAAAATTTAATCGAGCCAGAAATTCATTGCTTTGCGGGGTCCTTTACTGGACTCGCGTATGCGAGACGAGTTTTGTAAAATATTAAGAAATATAATTACATTTAGGCCCCAAAAAAATTGGTTTTAATAACATTAATTTGTACTATTCAAAATTAGGGCACATACTCTCTAAATCTGAATTAGTAAAAAAGTTTATTAATTTGAATTAGTAACTCACTTTTTGCTTCTCAATTAGTAAAATTTTACTAATTATTAGTAACTTTTACTAACAATTAATAAAATTTAACTAATTCTAAAGCAAAAAGTGAGTCACTAATTTAAATTAGTAATCATTTTTATTAATTCAGATTTAGAGAGTAATAATAATTAAGTTAAATAAAAATTGTGAGAAATAAATTTTAGATTTTAACATATTTTATTAATTAAAGTTTTCAAGAAAATAATTTGGAAATATTATATACAAACATAAAATCTATATAAAAATCTCAAAGTAAAATGTGAGTTCGTAAATTTTTGCGAATTTAAATTTAGAATTTAACTGATTCGATATATTTTTAAAACGCGGATCTAGAAAACTGTCTTAATGAAGAACGTTCACTGACCCTTGAAAGTATCTTCGGTGTGTTTCCTGTATGTATATAAGTTTCTTGAACTCCAAAGTTAAACTCAGTTTGTGAATGGGATTTTTCACGGTTTATAATTTGCCAGAGTTGTCGTTCGTTTTGTTAAGTAACTTTAAAAAAAAAAAATTGAATTCCATTTGTCTCTTTTGTTTACTATTCTATTTATTTTTTCACAAAAAGGGTATTAATATTTTTTGTTAGTAAAAGTGACAAATTAAAATTTTTTCGAAATTTAAAAATACAATGTTATACATTTGATAAATTCAATAAAATAATTTCTGAATTTGAATTTGTGCGAGAATTTATCCATTAATTTAAATTAGTAGAAATTTTTCACTAATTTTTCAGTAAAATATTATTATAATTATAATATATTATTTTTGTTATTTTTCAATAATTATACATAAAAGTAAAAATATAAAACTTAGGTGTTTATATATTTTAAATATGAAAATAAAAAGAATCAATAATTGCTTTTTTTATGAGAAAAAAAGGTTAAACAAAATTAATATTCAATAATATGTATTCAAGGTGGAAAAAAATTAATTTCATTTTGGTTTTGTTTCTTTTTTTTCATTCTAAAAAAGTATTTTCTTATATTCGAAGAACAAAAATAGATTTTTTATTCCTCGTCAATAAAAATTTCTTTTTCAATTCAATACATATATATATATATATACATATATATAAATAGTGTGTACTTTACTAAAACTTATTAATGAATTTCTTTCAGTGTAGAAAATGGACTTGTGCACAATCTTTAGAACGAGTTGCCCTTCAGAAAAGTTTTGAAAAGAATTCCTGATGGACTTTTACGTAGAAAACATGAACTGAAATAATCATGAGATTTATATCTTGTACGGGAATCAAGCTAAGTGGATCAAGTATGTGTCGTTATAGTATTATTACTTTGTTCGATTTTATATATATATATATATATATTCACTAACAAATTGTTAAGTATTATTGTCTCCCTCGTGGCCGAGAGTCAAGAGTTTATACTGAGTCATATGTGCCAGTGCAGGGAACACATATATATAACAGAATATATTTACTATACACTATATATTATGTGAGTGAATCACTAAATTGCGCATTCACATACAATTAAGCATACAAGTAAAGTCTGTATGCTTAACTGGCACTAACTTCTTTTATGTCCTCGTAGGAACTGAGGACAATAGTTTCTTGCTTTTTAAAGAAGGTAAAAATTTATGTAAACAATGCTATTTTAACCGCAACTGCACTTAAACTAATGTGCATTCTTTTTTTTCAAAAAAAAAAAAAAAAAAAGACAAAAACCTCAAAAATACAACCTCTATTGTTTTACAAGCGAAAATAATCGTTATACTCTTTCTGAATTTAAATTATTACAGTTGCAAAGAAAAGTGATGAATTTGATAACAAAAAAAAAGAGGCTGCAATTGACTTTGAAATAATTCAATAAATAAAAAACTCGTAAAAAGGGCACATGATAAAAATAATGTAAATTGAAATTTTTATTTGAATGTATTTTATTAGAAATATTTTATTTTTTAAGGCCATGTGGGAAATACCCACGTGACCCCCATGCAAAAAAAACATGGTATTGTATTACCAAGTTTTCTCTAAAATGGTAAAGAATTTTTGGTTGAAATTTGTAAAATATGATAGAGAATAATGAGCCAAAAGTTTTGAACGTTCAAATGAACGAAATTTTTTTTTGCAACTTCTTTAAGTACAAATTTTATTACGTTTTAAATATCTAAAAAAAAATTATTAATTTAATATTTGTTTAATTTACTGTTTTATATTACGCATTGACATTATAATTTTTAATAATTTAATAATTTCGAGTTAGTGGCCGCTCAAAGAAATAACAAAAACCTATTAATTACTTTTTTTAAATTATTTCGCATTCACTTACAGTAAATAAGTAGAACGACCCAATTCCTTCAACCCTTTTTTTATCATTCCTCAAAATTTCAACCCGAAATTTCTTCTCATTGAGTGACTATACACTGCAATGAGAAGAGAAACATTGTCATGCAAAAGTAAGAAACTTTTCTCATCGATGAGTGAGTGAAATCAAGGTTGCCAACCTAGAAGACGTGTTGGTAAGGTAGGTATTGAATTTTTTCTTAAGAAACTATTCAATACCTACCTTACCAACAAGTCTTCTAGGTTGGCAACCATGATTTCACTCACTCATCGATGAGAAAAGTTTCTTACTTTCGCATGACAATGTTTCTCTTTTCATTGCGGTGTATAGTCACTCATTTTCGAGAATACTTGGAACTACCAAAAAGTGACTTTGTCTCACATGGCCTTAAGAATGAATTTTCAATTTTCGAATTAAAATTTTACAGATTCTCTTTTTATATACGAATTTTTAAATAACAAAATTTTTAGCTATTGAATTTTTGTTTGACAGAATTTTTATTTTACATTAGTAATTTAATTTAAATAAATTTTAATTTAAAAGAATTTTTGATTTCACAGAATTCTCATTCAAACTGAATTTTTAGTGATTTGAATTTTTACTTAACAGAATTCTTAAAACGCCGAATTTTTATTTGTTTGAAATTACAAATGGCCGAATAAACAATCAACAGAAAGATTTCGGCGCGATTTTAAAAATTGACCAATTAAAAATTGTCAAGAAAATTGTGATTGGTGAATTTTGAAAATCGCGCCAAAATCTTTCTGTCGATTGTTTATTCGGTCATTTGCGCAATTTCGGACAAATAAAAAATTCGGCATTTTAAAAATTCTGTACAATAAAATTTGATTGGGTCAGTTGGGGTAAATGGGGACAAAATCGCTATTTTTTACAAATTACGTAAGTTTTTTCCTTTAAAAGGTAATATTTGAGGGTTTATTTTTTTTCAGTTATTTACATTCCCAGGATTAATTTTATGCAGCAGAAAAAAATTTAGATAAGCTTTAAATGCATGAAACTGACTGTCCCTATTTACCCGAAAATTTTGGGATAAATGGGGACAGCATAATTTCTAGGAAAGTTTTAAGAAAAAAGTTTCCTTAAGTATAATACTGTATTAAGGGATGAAAAAACCCAACTGACCCTACATAAAAATTCTGTTAAGTAAAAATTCGTTTAAAAAGAAATTCTGTCAAATTTAAATTCGAAAAATAAAAATTCGTTAAAAAAATAATTTTAAATATAACAAAATTCTTAAAAATTAATTTTTTTTTGAAACTTGTACAACTAAATCTTCTAAAATTTGGTGTAGTAAATTTCTAAATATATTTTTAGTTCTGTGAAAAATTATTTTTTAGGGGCTAAGTACCCTTAATTTGAATAAAAAAAATATTACTTTATTTTATGAACCAATAGCAATTTTGTAGGCCCCAATTTTTTTTTTTTTTATAAAATTAGTCCGCAACGACTTTGGTTGAAATTTATAATGATTTGACCCTTATGATAAATATTAACAAAGTAAATTAATTTTATAATTATCAATTTAATTACCTGTGATATTTAATCCAGCAAATGACTGAAATTCAGAAATTGCTTTTGACATCGTATATTCAGAAATTATTCCACCACTAGTTGGATTGACTGGCGGTAAATATCCGAATTGTGACAAATATCTCTGCAAAAGAAAAAAAAAAGATATTAATTTAGTAATTATTTTTCTTGTTATACATTATACATATTAATTATTATGAATATTATTAACAAAATTGTTGTTATTTTTTTTCTTAAATTTGTGTAACATTCAAATTTCTAAACACTTTAATTTTTTGTTTAATTTTTGTTTTATATTTATTATTTTTTATTTTTTATATACTATTCAAATTTTACTTGAATTTTTTTTTAACAAATTGACGTAAAAAGAAACTGAAAAAAAATTAAACAAAATTTTTTTTTAATTTTGTAATTTTAGGTTTAGATTAAAATGTCAATGTTTGGAAATTTTAATCTTGCACAAATTTGCATTTTATTTTCCAGAAAAATAACTTCTTTCCTCCATTTCTATTAATATCTAACCATTTATTTCTCCGTTATACAAAAATTTAAATAAATTTGCTTTTTGTTTCCTTATTTCGACAAGAGAATTGCATAGTAGATTTAAAAAAAAAAAATCAGTGCTTTTAGTCCTGTCAACATAAATGGAAAAAGTGAAGTTGTTTAAATTTCTTTAAATGGAAAAACGATAAAATTAGCGTAGAATACGTGGTTTTTTTTTTGCAAAAATTTATTTATTTATTAAAAATTTGTAATTAAATTCCCGGATAATTTTTTTCAAATAATTTTTTTTCTATCACACAAACAACATGATTTTATTGCAATTTATTGAATGTCAAAAAATATTTATTTATTAAATAAATAAGTTAACATTTTTTTTTTAAATTAAATTTTAAAAAATAGTTTAATTATTATTTTTATTGAACTTATAATAATTAAATTACGTTTCTGAATTTTTCCGCTCTTTTTTTTCCGTACATTCTTAATTTTTTTTGTATTCTCTAAATTTGAATTAGTATGAGAATTTGTTCAATAATAATTTAAGAAAAATTCTACTAATTTTTAGTCCTTTTTCACTAAAACTTTAATTTAAAAAAATATTACTAAATTAAATAGTAATATTTTATTGAAAATTTTTAATTTAAATTATAGTGAACGAATTCTTAATAATTCAAATTTAGAAAGTAAATTAAAAAAAAAATTAAAAATTAAAATTTTTTTAAAGTTCTTAAATTCGTTTTATACTTTTTTAATTTTTTAAAACTCTTCTCGACCTTGAAGATTTTAATGGAGATTTTTTTTTTTTTTATCAACAACAATGATTACAGTATCGTTTAAAATTATGTCATTCATTTTTTCACAATGTTTGCCATAGGTGCGGTGACGTTAAGTATTTATTTAACTTGTATGGGGAACATTTATTGTCAAGATCAGATTTATTTTCAAATATTAGTATCGAAAACGAAAGTGTATTATACACTAAAAAAAAAAAAATTATTTGATTGAAATAATCCGTTTTTTTTACTATTATTAAATAAATATATATTTGTATTAATAAGTTATTATTTGAGCCATTTAAATGGTATTTATTTCAAATATAGAAATTATTGGTTCAAGTAAATATTTATTTTGATATTAATCAAGTAACCGATTATTTGAATGAAATAAATTTTTTTTAATGCAGGAATCAAATTTCAATTTAGGTACCATCTTCATTGAAATTTTTGATTTTAAAAAAAAAACTACAGAAAAATTAACACTCATTTTTCAAAGATTTCAAAAATGTTTCACAAAAAAATTAAAAATAATACATTCATTTTTTCTAAAATTATGAAATATCCAACAAACTTTTTTTGATACAGAGAAAAATAGAAGAAAAAAAATGTTATATTATTTATTTTATAAATTCTTCATTTCTATTTGTTGAAATATCTATATGTATGATATGAGCTTGAAAGTAACATTATTTCATATATGTATACGTTATATATTATTTGAGATTTGTAATTTCGTATCGTAATGTGATCTTGAGTCTTCTTTATATTACATATATATGTAGTTTTAAAGGTGAACTGAGTAAAAGTGTAAACCTTATTTCTTATCCATGTGTACATTCAACACACATTGTGCTTCCAATTTTAACGTTTATTGTAGTGATAAAAAAAAACCACTTTAAACTTTTCTAATTCGTATAATAAACATATTTATTTTTTGAGAGCAAGAACCTCGAGAAAAAAAATTTTTTTAAACTTTAAAATTGGTCTAGTATTATATCATAGTTTAAAATTTAAATAATACACTAAAAAAAATTTATTTTGTTCTTCAATTCAAATTATTTAAAAAATATTTTTTTGTTTAATATATTATTTTATTTGCATAAAAAAATATATTCAAATAAGTCCAATTCTTTGAATGACAAATAATAAATCAAATAAATTTTCATAAGATCAAGTAAATAATTAATTGAATCTAATAAATTATTTCTTTAAAAAAAAATAATAAGTTTTTTCTATAAGTCACTGAAATATTTGGTTATTTGAATTAATTAAATATTTATTTGCTTCAAATATATATTTAATGGATAATGTAAATAATTTATTTTTATCTTTTTATTTGATCCGAATAATTTTTTTTTTTCATAATATATTATAAATATTGCAATATAAATGTATAATATATATATATATATATATATATATATGAAATGAATTTTAAGTAAAAATTAATTTTCTTTTCCTTTTAACACTACTTTACACGGTGATCATCAGAATTTTCTTGATATATAAAAACATGACTATGATCAATTGTAGGAAAGATACTCTCTGTAAATCGCTTGCAATGAATTATGTGAATTAATGATAATAAGAGTGTCGTGCGACGTACAATCTCAATTAGGTTTCAAAAGACTTGAAACAAGCCACCCACATTCCTCGTTTTAGGATAAAAATCTATTTAACTTATACGACGTGACCTCAATTTCAAAAATGAAGCACTTCGATTATAATCATATTCATTTGACCTTATCAAAAAAAAAAAAAAAAAAAAAAAAATTGTGTCTTCATAAGCAAATTGTTTTTCATAATATAATAAAAATAAAATTATAGGTACAAATACACTTTATTTAATTCAAATAAGAATTAGGGAATGTTCACAAATGATGTCACGAACTTTTTCAAAATTGTTTACCCCTACCCCCCCCCCCCTGTCACGCTTTTTTATTTTCTTATAGAAAAAATACATTGTGTCACGTTTGGCAAAGACCCCCCCTATCAATATGCGTGACATAATTTGTGAACGATCCCTTATTTGGTTCAAGTAAATATTTATTTGATAATACATAGTCCAAGTAAATGATTATTTCAATCAAATAAATTTTTTTTTCATTGTAAGTAAAGTATATTTAAATTTAATTCAATAATACATGTTAGTTCACAAAACTTATTTCATAAATTTTTTTTTATTCAAAGATGAGCCAAAAGTTTTGAACGTTCAAATGAACGAAATATTTTTTTCAATCTATAAATTATTAAAAATTATGATGTCAATGTAAAATAAAACAGTAAATTTAACAATTATTAAATAAAAAAATTCTTTTTTGATATTTAAAACAATATTTTGTAATAAAATTCGTACTTAAAGAAGTTCCAAAAAATATTTCGTTCATTTGAACGTTCAAAACTTTTGGCTCATATTCAAAGTTAATATATTTTTAATATGCAGTTAAATATATTAAGTGTAAGAGTGTTGAACGGTCATTGAAATTCTTTGATAAAAAGAGACCTCAAATAATCACTTCATAAATTTGGGACCGAATCTGAAAATGATAAACATTGATTTTAAAATACTTTTTTCTCAAAACACTGACACTTTTTACAAAAACGGCTAACAAATTAAGGATCTTTGTCTTATAAATTTACAAAATCCCAAAGATTGTGCGAATTCATGCAAAAAAAACCCGATTGTAAAATTGGAAATAGAAAAGTAGTATAATGACACTCTTTAGGAGGTTCATTACGCCCAGTCGCCGTCAGATGGCAGAAGTCGCAGCTGTCATTATATTACTTCTCTATATTCAATTTTGCAATCGCATTTTTGCATGAATTCGCACGATCTTTTGAATTTTGGAAATTTATAAGACTCAAGGATCCTTTGTATGTTGGCCGATTTTGTAAAAAGTGTTCAGTGTTTCGAGAAAAAAATATTTTAAAATCAATGTTTATCATTTTCACATTCAGTGTCATTTTTATAGGGCGATAATTAAAGGTTTCTTTTTGCCAAAGAATTTCAGAGACCGTTGAACACTCTCAAATGAAAAATAATAATTCTTTAGTTGATCTAGTATAATATTTTTTTTGTATTATATCGTGCACTTTGGATAAAAATACAATAAATTTAATACACACAAAATAAACTTAAACTTAAAATCATTTTCAAAAGATACAGGAAAAATAATTTTTTACGTTAAAAATCATGTCAAAATCTTATTGACTAATATAAAATAATCAATGGAACATCCGAATTGTGACAATTTCCAGAGAATGATAAGCTTTAAACGCATGAAACTGACTGTCCCAATTTACCTCAAAATTTAGAAAATTTCATAAAATTTTGGGTAAATGGGAACAGCACAGTTTCTAAGAAAGTTTTAAGAAAAATGTTTCCTTAAGGGTATGTGGTAACCTCCCCCGGGACCTAGTATGGGAAAATGTGTTTTGGTAGTATACATTTCATTTTAAAATGAGAAAAGATTTTTGTCTAAAATTTTGAGGGATGATAGATTACGGTACAAAGAATCTCGCTGTTCTCCGAAAAATACATAATTTTGAGTTAAATTATAAAAAAAAATGATGTTTAAAAAGTGACATTTTTAAACGAAAATGAAAACAAAGATGGCGGCGCATACACAGACGTTGCATGAGTGTGTCAGTGCTCCAGTAAACAGCGCCAATTCGAGCGAGTGGCCGCTGAATGAACTATGATAAAACACATTATTTTACTATTTAAGCCCTGTCCCCATTTACCCTAACTGACCCTACATATTTTTTTTATTTTTATATCAAATATAGTATATCAATTTTTCATAATTTGATTGTGTACACGGAAAGAAAGTTTGTAGCAATATTT